AAAGAAAGAAAGAAAGAAAGAAAGAAAGAAAGAAAGAAAGAAAGAAAGAAAGAAAGAAAGAAAGAAAAAGAAAAAGAAAAAAGTAGTATCAAACAGACCCATGATTATACACAAAAATAATTCTATTTATACTCCCTATTCTGAACTAACTCTTCTTGAATAAATCTAGTTTAAGATTTTAAACATCTGAGCTATTTGAACTACCTTTTTTTTTTTTTTCCACTCAAAGGAGAACAGTATTTGAATTCTTCCTTCCATTTTTTTCTAAAGCTCAGTATATCTTTGCTTCATATAATTCTCAGCCAGATGTATAGTATACTTGCTGGAACATGAGGTAGCTATTCTGTAATTCAGCATGAGATACAGTCATGGACACAAAAGCTCACTGACTTTGGAGTTTAGGTCTAGTTAAGACCGAATAATAAATCCATACATTCATCCTGGGCCAAATCTATTCATATATTACACCCCAGGTAACCTTAACATTGAACTAAATGTGGATTGAACTGGTAGATTTTCTATCATCAAATGATTAACCAACAATAAACAGAAATACAAGGCTGAGTTTGAAAATTCCCCAAATTAACACCAAATGCATTTTTATAGTAACTTGTTAATTATTATGTTATTATAAAAGTAATTAGTTTACTTATTTTCTTAGTTTAGCTCACATGAAGGTCAGTGACAGCAATTGACCCTATGTCCAATTTGGATTTTAAATGAAATTCATAATCTCCGCATACTGACTAAGGATTCTCAAACTGTGAGAGAAGTCACCTTGAACAGAGGACAAAACTATAGTATTTCAGACTCATGCAGGAAATTACACCAAACTGTAAACAGTTTTGCAAAAAAAAAAACAAAAAAAAAAACCCAAAAAACAACAACAACAACAAACAACAAAAAAACAGGAAGACTATAGAGGCTGGTATTTTAAGCAAAATTTCAGCATTGGCCAAACTTTATTCCCATTTAACTCTGTAATGAGAATACTACGGTAGAGGCAAAGTGTTTTCCAAAGATCTGAGAGTAAGTGGGAACTTCTTGATGTGTTGGAAAAAGAAAATGTCCTCTATCTTGAATACAACAGAAGTAAAACAAACCATGCTTCGGGTCAACTAAGAGAATTTCTAATCCCAAATTAGAATTTACATGATCTATAGGAGGTAAACAATAATCATCTGAATGTAAATATTAGAAATTGCAGAGAAAACTGAGCCTGTCCCTCAGAGTTAGGCAACTCCTACTTAAGCAGTCAGAACATGAATCCATTTTGCAGATTTAGTGCCTCAAAGAGAACATTTTCTTAAATAAAAATGAGAAGCAGTTTTAATCCACTCAGAATGCTATAATGTACAAGTTTTCAACATCTGTGGGCAAGATTATAAGCAGAACTGTAAATATTAAAGGATTTAAGCATGTTAGCATTTAATAGCAGTAAAATTGGCCTTTACTGAGTGCCTGAGGTTCCTGTTCTGAGCACTGAAATTTATGACTCTCCTTATGAACCAAAATCAAGACTCAAAGTTTCCTGGGATATGTTAGTGAAAGCTATGCTTAATTGCTCACACTTCCTGTTGTAAAAGAGGGTATTGAAAGATTTTTGCCTTCATGTGGGTTTCCATCATCTGTAGAACCTCACATTCATCTGATGTCAGTATTCAACAATGAAGTAAACACTGGGATAATTCAGTCAGAGGAGACCCCAAAGTGCTCTGTGACCTTATTCAAGGTTATTTTCCTTTCTTACAATGAAGTTCTAAAATAAAGTGGACTAGCAAAGAAGTGAGGGGTAAAAATCTCGTGGATTCCAAATTCCGACATCATAAATTCTTTTGATTACAAAAGAGTAATGATCATTTACACCAGGGAATTTTTATCTCATTGTGTTGCTCAATTATCTTTAACTATTACGGGTATTAATATATGCTGATTTTGTGCTATGCAAACACATAATCAAAAGTTTTTCCAGCTTCCAAGAGCTTTTACTGTAAAAAGGGAGGGGAGTCTGATGGTGCAGGAGAAAGTTATACAGAGGTGAATGTCAGCTATTCAAGTGTCAGTCTTTGGTTGAGATGTGCAGATGATAAGAAAAGAGAGGTAATAAGCAATATATTTTGGGGGGAAAGAGCAAAGGCAGTTATAACCTTGAGTGCATGTTTAAAAAGAGCTCTAAATATTCACTTGCTTGAAAGCTTTGATTGGTACAGTGTTTGCATTTGCATTAACCGTTGCATGCTGCATTATAGTACTTCAAAGAGTGGGGCTCTTAGCTTTTACTGTGAAATCCTATGTATGTGCCATTAAGACACTTTTTATTGCAAATTAATATCCTGCAGAAAAGTTGCAGATGAAAGAGAAGATCTATTTAAATGGTTACTTTTCTTGAGGCAAAAAAAAAAAAAAGCAACCATTGTACTAAGCCTCATATTCTTTTCCTTCCCCCTTCATCCTCATTTTTAACAATTTTCCTGTAGAGTCAGCAAGTGAAATCCAAATAACAGGTAAATGTTACATTTTTCTGCTATGTCTTGTAGAAAGAAATAATGAATGTTGTTGAAGAGCACGTAACATTCATCAACAGTTAACAATGCTGATGTGAACCAGCGCTGGTAAACTGACATAACTGCAGATGTAAAGTTCTCCATCAAAGAATGCTTTTATCAGTTGATTATTTTATCTTATTTTAACTGTTCTGTAGCATGTTTCTTGGGAGATATACACAGATGATAAGCACTGAGCAAGCTAGCAATAATCAGATTACATAGGCATCAGAAGACATTGAGGAAATTCATATTAGAAGTGGTTGGACCATACTAAGTGAAAATGAACACTTTGAAAGCAGCCTGCCAGTTTTCTGCTATAGTCAACAGGGAATAATGAAATGGGTTTAGGCACCTGCCAGCAATACACCTCACTTACTTTCAGTCAGTCTGCCTTGTTGAATGGAATCACAGACCAACGACTCTTGTTTGGAGTCTGGAGAAAAGGATGTCAGAAAGAAAGAACAGGTTTTCTAAGTGGATGTACAATTTGAGAAAAAAATAAATAAATCAAATAAAGAAGAATCTATTGCTGTATGACTTCAGAATGGTCATATCTGGCAATTCTGAAGGTACATCTAGCTCCAAGTCCTGCTGTTTATTTGTTTCAGGCGATCAGGTTTGCCCAAGGAAATATAGTGAGAAGAAGGCAGAAGGCAAAGGGATCCTTCCCTGGTGCAGTTTTGGCAATGAACAGTTAGGCAATTCTCTCAGTTGCTAGGGAATTACAGAATTCTAGTGCCCAAAGTCTCAATCAGAACTTTCTGAAGTACTCTACAACAAGCAATATTCAGAAGATTTCCAAAGGCTGTTCAGAAAGCTCAGAGCTGCTACTACCACTAGGGTAACAACTATTATTGTAATATTAGATCCATTGTATATATGCCATGAGACACATTTAGCCCAGTTTTTCCAGGAAAATTACTAAGGAGATCAGCTCTGTGCAATGTGTTTGCTGTGAGAGCCTCGTTTTAGATTAGATATTAGGAAAATAATTCTTTGCTTTGAGGAACAGGTTGCCCAGAGAGGCTGTTGATGCCCACTTCCTGGAAGCATTCAAGGCCAGCCTGGATGGGGTTGTGAGCAACCTGGTCTAAGAGGGAGGTGTTCCTGCCTATAGCAGGGGAGTTGGAACTAGATGATCTTAAAGGTCCCCTCCAAATCAAACCATTTTATGTTTCTATGATTATATTATGTTTCTGAGAGCTGTCACTTAATGTTCTTTCCTTGCAATTCTTTCTAGCCCCGAAAAAAAGAAAGACATCTAAGCAAAAAGAAGGTAGGAAATTACTCTGTGTATGCATGTATGTGTAGATGGAAGATCACAAGGATGATCAGAGTACTCGAGCACCTCCCCTGTGAAGATGGGTGGAAGGAGCTCAACTTGTTCAGCCTAGGAAAGAGAAGGCTGTGGGGAGACCTCCTTTCAGCCTTCCAATACTTAAAGTGAGCTTATAATCAGGAAAGGGACAGACTTTTTACACTGTCTGGTAGTGACAGGACAAGGGGGAGCGATTTTAAACTAAAAGAGGTGAGAATTACTTTAGATGTTAGGCAGAAATTCTTGACTTAGAGACTGGAACGACTTTCCCGGGAAGCTGTGAATGCCCCGTACCTGGAAGTGTTCAAGGCCAAGCTGGATGGGGCCTTGGGCTGCCTGATCTAGCACTTGACGTAGTGTTTTGCAACCCTGCCTTTGGCAGGGGGCTTGGAACTAGATGTCGTTAAGGTCTCTTCCAACACAAACCTATGATTCTATGATTGTACAATAATATCAGATCGTAATTTTACATGTATTTGTATATGAAAAAGCTCCTAAAAGACTGTATTAATTTTCAAAGAATTGTACTTGAAAAGTCTAGATAATAATCTATTAAGAATTAGAATTTAAATTATTTCCAACCTTGAACTCAGTTACCTTTCATTTTTCTGCCTAGAAAAAGCAACTGAGAAGAAACATCTGAAAGATGAAAAACACAAAGGTAATAAATGGATGAAAATCTCTGCAAACCAGCTTTTTTCATGGGGTTGGAAAGAGGAGCTTTGTTAACATTTTTAAACATATGCAAGTACGCCAAAATGATGAAATTGTGTGGAGATTCCCAGTAACTGAATGTCTGATGGCTCCTTTAGGTGTCAACATCAAGTACTACAGCTGTATGTCCAATCTGGCTGCAGAGGTTCCCTGTCTGTGACCCCAAAAGTGGTACATCATTAGCTGATCTACTGGGTGCTCTGGCTCTATGTCCTCAGATGAGTGGGTTACCCTAGTCAGTCTGCTGCTATGGTTGCTGATATGGTGGTGTATTGTTCACTTTGATGCTTTAAATCATCCACCTCATATTGTAGAATGATTGTGTCATAACAGAGCACTTTTTTGTGTGTGTTGTATACTTCATGGTCTTTTATAGTCTGGTTAACATTTTGATAAAGCACCACCCTGATTGTTTCTCTATAATAATAATAGAAATTATTTCTTCAATACCTCTGAAGATAATCAATAGTAATATACACTAATACATTTTAAGTTAGTGGTCTATGACACAAACATCCTCTTTATATTTGCTAAAGGCTGTGAGATTTTTACAGAAGTGAAGATTTGAAGTCAGATCTGCATACGTTAGTCTTCAAGAACAATTAGGTGCTATGTATGATTAAAATCTTGGAATCTCAAAGAATAACATTTGAGATTGAATAACATTTGAGATTTATGCTTAATTGTACTAGTGCAGATCTACTAAACTAGGAACAGTCTGCCTCTATGGGTTTACTAGACATACAGTTTCTATGCTTAAAGAAAGTCATATTTGAAAAACAGTTGGGATCATACCAATACTATCTCATAGTTGATTCCAACACCAGGATGTTTCTCACTGAAATCTAATTAAATGTTTTGTCCTGAAACAGAAAACTAAGTTATGATCTATGTTTTGTTCTTTAGGAGCTCCACCAGCAAAAGAAGCTCCAAAACACCACAACCTGACATCAGGTACATAGTTTTCCTTCTTTTTTCATAAAAGAAATTCCTTTTCCTTTCCAAAGTGCTCCTGTTGTTGTAAGGGATGTCACTCCTACAGCTGTTTTGTATCCGTTATTCATGTCAAGGCAACATGATGCAAGGAAAACAAAGTAAGTAAGACCCACAAGAATTATTCCTGTGGAAAACAATGTATTCAAATTGTATTGCTTTATGATTTTACTAAACTTTTAAAGAAATAAGTAGCTAATTATAAACCAAGTGACCTATAATTAATTTGGCAGTAATTTATTTAAATAAGCACGTGTTTCTCATAGAAAATCTGTTCCGTAGCAAAACTACATAATGAGGACTGTGTTCCATTTATTTGTTCTTACAAGAATAAATATTGTCTCTTCAAATACTCACATCCTCTCCACAAAAAAAAAAAGGTGAAAAAGAGTAGGGCATCTGAGGAGGACATCTCCTCTCACTGCATTATTGTTTGCTCCATGTTTTTCCTAGTTTAAGATAAGAATAAAAATACATTCCAGATACTTGACTGATATTGATCCCTGCAATTTCAGTGGAACTGCACTGATTCACGCTAGACAAGGATCTAGGTTATTTATCTCACCTTGAGATGTAACTTATGTACTTATGTAAAACCAAAATATGAACTAAATATTAATATGAATCTTCCTGTTAAAACTTTGTTGTTCTTAGACAGTCGAGAAAATGACTTCATCTCAAATAATTCAGATTGCTTTGTTGTATGTTGTTTTTTTGTTTTTTTTTTTTTCTCCATGCTTACTATAGGCAGAATGTTTTACAATCCCATATATATGATGGAAAATGTGTGATGCACGTGTAGATACATTTATGTATGTATAAACATGTATCTGTAAATTTTAAATATAAATATTTTAATAAACCTAAAAATGATAGCTAAGTGCAAAACATATGCAGTGCAATCAGACATCAAGGGAAAGAAAATGTGAATGAAATGTTAAACTCAAGCTCCCAAATGGTAGTGTGCTGCACACATAGCTCACAAGAATTTGTTGTATGAGTGCCGCTAGATATATCTATATAAGGATGGCTTGGCTTAGCTTAGCCTTTTATATATTTTTTCTTTGATAGGGAATGCATGCCATTTTAGAATCAGGTATAAAATTAAATTCCTTTTAGTATTTTTATAATTCTGTAATTGACCAAAATACACAGAATGTAGACCCTATGCTAAAAGTCATACCCATTCTAACAGTATATCAATACTGAAAACAAATAACAAGTAAATTAATGAATTAAAGCAGAGATTTTCTTCTGTAGTAAAATTACAAATTCAAGATAAGCGTGTGTTAAACTAATTATCGTGTCTTCTGCACACCAAAGTTTGCATCATTCGAAAACTGTTTTTATGAACAATAATTGCTGTTATTGGTTAATCTAATTATATTCTAACATTGCACAACTGACTGGATGTTTCCTAGATCAGAAACAACTCTATGCAAACAGTCCTTTGTAACTGGCTTCACAAACATAACTTTATGTCAGTATCTTCTTTGTCCACTAAATAGAATTAGTAAGCTTTCAGAAAGTGGGTGAAAAGTTTCCAAAAGAACATCAACTTTTTTTTTTTCTTTTCAGTGTTGTTCTTTGGTATTTGCTCAGTTTGAGAATTTAAAAGCTGAGACCGAATTGTAGGTCATGTCCTCTTGAAGTTGATTTATTCTTCCTGTGTTGTTTGAAGATGAAGACAGTGCATTTTCTCCAATGCACCAAATCGTAATAATTTCTGCTGATAAATGGGATTTACACTTTCTGAGCGAATCTAAAAATTTAAATAGTAAATCTCCTTTCCAGTTTGAAAAGCTGAATAGATTAGATTCACATGTACTTAGATTTTGATCAGAGTCCTTCAGCCTTTTCCCGGTATTATGAAGCACTCAGATAAAGTGAAATAAGCAATTTAAAAAGATGAATATATCTTCAGTTTTCAGAAAGTTTCACATTTGGACAGAATTTTAAGCATCTCTGTACCTTTCATATAAGCAATGGTGATATGTGCAGAAGACACTAAATTTCTCTCCCCTGTAGAGCTGCAAGCAATTACTCAAAATTCTTCCCCCTACTTTCTCCTGTCCTAAGTGTCAAAACTGACACCTGTGCTCAGAATGAAACTTAAGCACTAGTTTTTCCTTCTGCCTTACAAGAAATTTATTCACAAGCAGACACAAGTAGATTTTTGGGCATTTGGAGTAGAATTTGAGAAGAGTACAAATTCAACTTTGTGATGAGAGTTGTCTTCCATATCCTTTATATAAACAACTGTAGACTCTAAGTCCTAATCTGCTTCAATGCTCATGTCAGAGTATGAAAATTTAAAGTAACCAGTACTTGATTATGTTTATTGCAATTGCCATGTAACTGTCCTTATGGCTGAAAGCCCAGGTAACACTTTCTTTCATTTGTCACACTGTTAGCCAAAGAGATTGACTGTTTTTTTAAGCTGTTATCTTAAATGACAAGTATGCAAATATGGCAAAATTAAAGAGAGGCAGTGATGAAAGAGCTTGAAAAGTGAGAAATAATGAGATTGATCTTAAACCTGTATAAATAGGTTAAACTACAGAAATATGTGGATTGTTTTAAAGGTAAATAGAAATCAAATTAGTCATGCTAAATTCCCCAGCATCCTGTGTCTTACATAATTCATGTATCTACCCTTATAAATTGTTAAGAGGTTTACAGTTTCTTGGACATAAGATTTTCTATCCTATGAACTCCTATGTCTAGTCAAAGATATTGTACATCAGGAAAAATTAAACTTACCATTATGTGCAATTGAAACATCCTTTATTTGAATATACTACACTATCTTTTCTATGCAAAAAAGCATTTCTCAACTAGATTTATTCTCTGCTTCTGCAACACTGTTTCTCAGATGTTTTCACAGAATCACAGAATCACAGAATCACAGAATCACCCGGGTTGGAAGGGACCTCAAGGATCATGTAGTTCCAACCCCCCTGCCTAGCAGGGCCACCAAACACACACATTCAGATCAGGTTGCCCAGGACCCTGTCCAACCTGGCCTTAAACACATCCAAGGACGGGGCATCCACAACCTCCCTGGGCAGCCCGTTCCAGGGCCTAACCACTCTCCTTGTATAGAACTTCCCCCTAACATTCAACCTAAATCTTCCCTCCTTCAACTTCGATCCATTTCCCCTAGTCCTGCTGTTGTCAGCCCTTTTGAAGAGTTTACTCCCCTCGTGGGTGTAGGTTCCCTTCAGGTATTGATAGGCTGCAATGAGGTCACCCCGCAGCCTTCTCTTCTCCAGGCTGAACAAGCCCAACTCCCTCAGCCTGTCCTCGTAGGGGAGGTGCTCCAGCCCCCTGATCATCTTAGTCGCCCTCCTCTGGACCCTTTCCAAAATCTCAATGTCTTTCTTGTACTGAGGGCTCCACACCTGGACACAGTACTCCAGATGGGGCCTCACAAGAGCCGAGTAGAGAGGGACGATCACCTCCCTGTCCCTGCTGACCACCCCTCTCCTGATGGAGCCCAGGATCCCATTTGCCTTTCGAGCTGCCAGAGCGCACTGCTGGCTCATGTTCAGTCTCTCGTCCATCAGGACCCCCAGGTCCTTCTCTGCCGAGCTGCTCTCAAGGACCACTCCTCCCAGCCTGTACGGGTGCCTGGGGTTCTTCCGGCCCAAATGCAAAACCTTGCACTTTGCCGTGTTGAACCTCATTAGGTTCACCCGAGCCCAGCCCTCCAGCCTGTCGAGGTCCCTCTGAATGGCATCCCTTCCTTCCACCGTATCAACCGCACCACTCAGCTTGGTGTCGTCAGCAAACTTGCTGAGGGTGCACTCAATTCCCTCATCGATGTCATTAATAAAGATGTTAAAGAGCACCGGTCCCAAGACAGACCCTTGGGGGACACCACTTGTTACCGGCCTCCACCTGGACATAGAGCCATTGACCACCACCCTCTGTCTGCGGCCTTTCAACCAGTTTCTTACCCATCGGGTCGTCCACCCATCAAATCCACTTCCCTCCAATTTGGAGATGAGGATGTGGTGGGGGACCATGTCAAAGGCCTTGCTCAGGTCCAGGTAAATGACATCAGTCGCCTTCCCTTCGTCCACCAATGCCGTCACTCCATCATAGAAGGCCACAAGATTAGTTAGGCATGACCTTCCTTTGGTGAGGCTGTGCTGGCTGTCTCGGATCACATGCTCATTCTTTATGTGATCGAGCATGTTGTCCAGGAGGATCCGTTCCATGATCTTCCCAGGCACGGAGGTGAGACTCACCGGCCTGTAGTTCCCCGGGTCCTCCCTGCTCCCCTTCTTGTATATGGGAGTGACGTGACCCTTCCTCCAGTCATCCGGGACCTCACCTGACAGCCACGACTTCTCAAATATGATGGAGAGCGGCTCGGCAACCACCTCAGCCAGCTCCTTCAGGACCCTGGGATGCAAGCCATCCGGCCCCATAGACTTGAATTCATTCAGTCTAAGGAGGCACTCTCGGACTTGCTCTGAAAAGAATATTTTCAACATATTGTCAGCAAAAGATTGCACATGAAAACCTCAGCAGCTCCAATGGGTGAAGTCATTGTATGTCTGTATTAGCATATGGTGATTAGTTTGTTTCTACAAAGTTGTTTAGTTGCCTTTCACCATATGTATCTCTGTAACATATTTTCCAATGCAAGTATGATCTCCAAATTTCAGAAAGAAAAAAAAAAAAAAAAAGTGAAAGTTCTATTGAATGTGAGATTTAATGTGAGATATTTAAGGATGTTTCCTCAGGGCTCAGGGGTCACAAACTTGTCAGAAATGCAATATAAGATTTTTTTCCTCTGATCATTATTTTCACTGAGAATGAGAATACTTTCCTTTTTCCTTTCTCACTGGCATGAAGTATTTGGAGACTCCATATTTGAAGTATGGTTTATTTCATCATTTTGTAGATGCACTCTGTTAATATCATTAAGCAGAAACATATTTGTCTGA